GGTGAGAGCAGGGGACTGGGAGCCAGGACTCCTGGGTTCTTTGCCCAGCTCTGCCCCTGGAATATTCCACAGGCATCCAGAGCTTTGCCCTGCCCCATGTGAGCGCCCTGGCCCTGCCTGAACCTGCCCCTCTCCTTTCCCCTTCCAGGACCCAACCAACGGCTACTACAACGTTCGCGCCCACGAGGACCGCCCGCCCTCCCGCACCGTGCTCTACGCCGACTACCGCACCCCGGGCCCCGCCCGCTACGACATGCGCCCCTCCTCCCGCCTCTCCCACTCCAGCGGCTACGCCCAGCTGAACACCTATACCCGGGGCCCCGCGTCGGAGTACAACACCGAGCCGGCCCCGGGGCCCCCGCCGGGCCCCACCGCGGGAGAGACGGCCAGCCAGCTCTCCTACGAGAACTACGGCGGCCACGCCGCCTTCCCGCCCAGCGCCGGCTACGCCACCTACCGCCTGGGCTACACCCAGCACCCCCCGCCTAGCCTGGACCGCGCCCCCTACGACACCTACGACCCCATGGGCAAGTACGCCAGTGCCACCCGCTTCTCCTACACCTCCCAGCACTCGGACTATGGGCAGCGGTTCCAGCAGCGGATGCAGACTCACGTCTGAAGGACCTGGGGGCTGTGAGGCAACAATCCTCACCGGAGACATAAGGGGGGGTCACAGGTACTTTGTGACTGTCCTCTGATATTCAGGGGCTTTTCCTGAACCCCCCACGCCCACCCCTCCAGCGGCAGGACTCTCAGCCTTCCCGGCGACTGCACCCCTCACTGTCTGGATTCAGGGGACCCTGGCGTCCGGCTGACTCCGGGGCCCCTCTTCCCCTATATCTGAGCTTCCATCCAGCCACCCATCATGTTGTCTTCGTTTGTTCTTTTCAGCCCATGTCTCGAGGGGCCGGCGCCCTCCCCGACTGGAAGGAAAACCAATTTTGGGGGGGCCAGGGAGCCTCACCCCCACCCCGGCCCTGCTCACGTGCGGCACAGCTCTCCTCCCAGCGGGCTGGAGGCCGGATCAAGCGTGCTGGTAGCTGCAGGGGGGAGATTCCCTCCCACAGCCTGGATCCCACCCAACCCTGCAACAAGCGAGACTCCGGAAACTTGCCCCCGGCCACGCGGGGGAGCCCTGATTTCTTTGCCACACGTCGGATCTTTGAGGGGAGACGGGCCGAGAGCTGAACTCCGTCGGGGGTGAAAGGTTGTGACAACAAGGGGGGGTGGGTTACAGGGCAGCGGAGGACCAAGCGGCGATGGGGGGTGGCTGAAGGCAGGCTAGGCTGTGAAGTCCCCCGAGGGCCATGGGATCCCTGGGGTCTGCAACGGGCTCCCGCACAGCTCGGCCGCTAGGAGGCAGAATCGTGCCGTCACCGGCTCCCAGGGCATGATGGAACGCGCCACCGCGGGCACAGGGGACACTGCGCTCTAGATGTGAACACGCCCGGGCGGGGGGCCTGTCGGCCGGCAGGCCGGCTAACCCTGCAGCCAGCCTCCGAATGGGCAAAGGGCTCTGATCCCACCTCAGCGTCCATCGCTCAGCGCCTGGCAGGATCGGGCCCTAATGTGGAGAACTAACCTGGAGCAGCAGCTTTTGATCTAGTCCATACCCGGGACCCCCATCCAATACCAGGACCCCCTATTCTAGACCAGGGTCCCATGTCCAATACCAGGACCCACTATACAAATCCTCCCTCTTCCATACTGGGACCCCCCCCCACACACAATACAGGTACTCCCTATCCTATACCAGCACCCCTTTCCCATATTGGGATCCCTCCTGCCCCACTTAGCAATATGGGACGGGTGAAATGCTCGCGACCCCTATGTTGCGAATCCCTGACCTAGATGACGCTGCGGGCTCTAGGGAGAAAGGTCAGCCCCACACCTGAGTGCTTCCATTCACAACAGCACAAGCCAGACCCCGGCCAGTCCCGTGTCTCTCGGGGCGGCCAGATCCCTTGCCGCTCGCACCCCAAATTGGATCCCTCCCCCGCGTGGAGTTCCTCTTCAAAAGGGGCCCCGATCTCTCCCCCAGTACCCCGTCCGTCCAGGGCCGAGCTGACTCCGTCCCCCCGTCCCAAGCACTTTGAATACGTTTCTTTGGGTTTATGTTGGGTTTTTTTATATATATATTTTATAAGGGGGGGGAGGAGGGGGTTGGTTGGTTTTATTCCTCCGAAAGGACCAATTGGAATCCTGCCTCTTCCACCATTTCCTGTGCCTTGAACTTCAGCTTTATTTGCCCGGTCGGCGTTCGCTTGCGCGGTGGAACCGAGCGACGGGGGCGGGAGCGTTGGCCGGGCGAAATGTTTTAGGGGCTGGTGAAGCTGGAGGCTTGTGTCTCCCTCTAGTGCCTGGCACCAGCCACTACAACAGCCTGTCCCTGAGGCCAAGGGAGGAGCTGCCCCTTTAGCTTGAGGCATCGAGAGCTGTGTTTTTAGGGCTGAAGGTCGTGAGTTTGATCCCCAGTGGCGGACGCAGTCTCCACTGATGACAGGGGCTTTCCCGGGCTGCCCATTGAGAAATGATGGATTTCCCGGGGTTGTTATTTTGGTGGGGGTGAGGGGTATCCTTCAAGCTTCCCAAGTATCCCAGCGAAGCTGCACCCCACTCCTGGAAGGGATGGGGGGGGGCTCTGTTTTTGAAGCCTGGCAGTGCCATTCCCCAGCCAGGCAGAGGGGGCGCTGCTGAGCGGGTCCCGCCCTGCAGCGTGAGCCATGCAAGTCCTAAGCGGCGCTGAGCAGGACCCCGGCCCCCACCTTCACTGCCCTTTCCGCCATCGCTCCGTTAGGGAGCAGGACTCGAACCCAGGCCCAACTTCTCCACAGTCACGCCCGGCCCAGGCGTCGAACTCTGATCTCCCGCGTGGCCGGGCAGAGTGCAAAGCCACCAGCCCTGTCTTGCCTGTTCCCTCCTAGTACCTACCGGCGTGGCAGGGCCGTAAGCATCCCGGGCCGTTCTGGAGCTTTTCTTGTGACCTTGCAGCGTCGGTTTCGTTTGCACAAATCGGGGCCTTCATTTTAAGTACAGATAACGGCCCCCCCCCTTACATTACGGAGCCATTCAGATATTGTACAGCCGTGAGCCGCGTGGGTTATCGGCACGTCAACAGAAAGGGTTAGCCATGGGTATGGCGGCCGGTTGGCCGGCTGGAGCCTATATCAATCCAGAACGGTGGGGTCGCCATTTATTAAAACATCGCTTGACCCTTGATTTACCCTGTTTGGAAGCAGCTGGAATCTGATCGTGTCTCCTGATACGGCCTTTTCCTGCCCTATTTATGGGACTTTTGCAGCGGCCATTAACCTGGCGCCTGAGAACTTCACAATCTTCACTGTCCTTTTCCTCACAACCCTCTGTGAGGCTGGGCAGGGCTGGTCTCTGGAGCACCTGGCACTGGCCTACGTCGGAAGGCAGGATACCGGGCTAGATGCACCATTGGTCTGACCTAGGATGGCCGTTCTTAGGGTCTTAGCCCCATGGCACAGATGGGGAACTGGAGCCCAGAGACCCAGATTTTTACAGGTGTTTTGGCGTAGCTGCACTCAGCATCGCAACGCCTAACTGATTTAGGAACCCAGATCATTTTCCAAAGGGGTTTAGGCACTCCAGAGCCTAACCCTCATGGGCAGCTGATGGGATTTTTGCTCCAAAGTGCCTAAATCCTTTTGGAAACTGAGTTTTGGCTCCCAAATGAGTTAGGCCTTGCAAAACTGGGCGCAACGCTGCCCAATATGTGGCTCAGTCATGCGCCCAGGGTCAGATGGCAGAACAGAGTTGACCCTGGGTCTGCCTGGTCTCAAGATAACAACCTGATCCGGGGACCAGCTCTTAACGCACCACTTTCAGGAGTCATGTTATTTTGAACTTCAGCTTTTTCCCCCCCTTAGTAATCCATTTCTAGCTCTTGTGTTTTTAAAGAAAGGAACCCAGGCTCTAACCACTAGACATCACACTCCTCCCAGCACCTGCAAACATGACCCTGAAAGGTTCAGAAGCCTGCAGGAGAATCAAAAGAACCCAGTTTTTTCCCCAGCTCATGATTGGTGGGAGGTCTGATTTGCAATTTGTGAACAGTTGGGATTGGCAGCCCTGGCAGTGGGATCTTAATAGAAAGTCTGAGCCAAATCTGGCGTCATGGTCCATGACTGGAGCCAGAGGCTGCTGCGATAGAAATAATAATGGCTAATAGTCATCATAAGTAACAAACCAGTGCTGGCTAATTTGCTGGCATGAGTCGGTCATGTGAGCAGGGTTGTTTTTTTATATGAATGTATCTAAATATATATTTTATATAAATATCCTGCCAAGCAAATTCTTGAAAGCCAGAAGCGCATGTTCTTAATGCTCAGCGGTATATAATTATAGATCAACGCCCCCCCAAAACTTCTGCGTTGAGGCAGACAGCTGGCACGGGAAATTTCAGCCCGAAGGGTTAACGTCTGCAATGTTCTACGCAACTGAAAACAGGGTCTTAGAATGGAACGTGTTGGGCAACCTTAACTCTAGGGGGTGCGCCGTGCACCCTGCAGAGATCATGGGGGCTTGGCTGGGCGTGTGTAGACGGCCGTGGAAAATGAGGGCGAAGCAATAATTCCTCGAGGGAGAGGGTTGTGTCTGTGGAGGGGAGCTGGGGAAAAGCCGAAGAATGTAGCTGGTCCTAGAGTTCAAATCCGGATAGATTTGTTTTTTTCACTTGATCTCACTCTGGCTTCGGGGTTTGAATGGCCCCTGGACGGCTGCCCTGCGCTTCCCTCTCTTGAACATTTGTGCTCCACAGTATAAACCTGCTTGTGGCCAACTCCGGCTCACTGGGACTGGCTCCCAGTGCATCCCAGGGGTGAGAGCCAGGACACCTGGGTTCTATTTCCAGCTCTGGGAGGGGAGGGAGGTCTAGTGGTTAGATCAGAGGACTGGGAGTCAGGATTCCTGGGTCCTATTCCTAGCTCTGGGAGGGGCGGGGAGTCTACTGGTTAGATATAGGGACTGGTTAGATATAGAGTCAGGACTCCGGACTCCTGGGTTCTACCTGGTTTGTGTTGGTTAAACTGGTGTAACCCAACCCGTGGGGTGTTCTGTCTCCTCCTAGTGGCGGCTTGGCTACCCGATGAGCTCAGGACTAGCAGAGCCTCAGGCATCAAGATTCAGAGGGTCCCACGTACAATTCCTGCTGTCGACAGCCCACCCGAGGGTGCGGGATTACGCCCACGTCCTTGAATTTGCAGGCTCAAGCAGGGGGTTGCATGAGTAACCTTAAACCATTTTAAGTCAAACCGGTGCAAGTACTGTGTGTGGAGCAGCCCGAAGGGAGTTGGGAACCCAGTTCCCGTGGAATTTCCCTGGGAGTTGGGGGCCGAGCTGCCTGCGGTTGCTTTGCCTCCCCCAACAGAGCGCCCCTTGGGCAGCTGGACGATGGGAGCGGTTCTGCCATGACGGCGCCGGGTTGGCGCAGTGCCGGAAGCCAGCACAAGGTGCGGGCGGGTTCCTCTCCATTCGGGACCTCGGTGATGGGTCGGGCAGAGCTCTCTGCCTGCCTTGTCCCAGAGCTCTAGAGGGGTCTCGTCAGCTCACCCCAGCACCGGGGCGGTCTTTCCTTTGCTTCTGGGCGCTGGGGCTGGGTGGCTGTGGAGAGAGACAGGACGGATCCCCCCCACCCTCAACCCCCTGCAATCAGGAACAACCCACCCCTTGGTTCGAGTCACTCCCTCTGGTGCTAATTCACAAGCCTTCACCCTTGCCAGACACCCCCCGCCCCATGGCTGAGTGCAAGGGTGGGGGAGCAGGGAGCAGACCCAGCATCACCCACTTTGAAGGAGTTAACCTTGACCCCCTCCCCCCGAAGGTACCTTTAAAACAGGCCCGATGCTGCAAGGCCTTGAGCCCGAGCCCAGGAACCGCGCTCGCAGCCTGCAGCTTTAATTCAGGCATCGCCACTGTCAGGCCACGTGGCTTTTTTTCTTCCCCAGCGATGCCTGTGGGGACCCCCCGGTGACCCCCGTTCTCCCTCGCCCCAGTCTAGAGCAGGGGGGAAGCGGTGGGACTGGCCTTTGCCCCGACGGTGCCGGGATCCTCTTTAGCAATAGAAACCCTCACTGCCATGACACGGAACCGTGCAAAGCCAGGAGCCGAGTGGCTTTCCGTGAAACTCACTGTAGCGGGATCGTCTTCGAGGTTATGCAGCCCCACGCACACACCTGCCGGCTCATTGCTAAACGCCCAGGCTCATTGGATCCCCCACGGGAATGGGGGGGTGGGAAATGGGGGGTATTTTTCTTAGCACAGGCCCTTTTAGATTTCTAGAGACGTGTATCTGTGAGTCCCCTGCACCCCTTGCCCGGCCCCACCTTGGATTATTTTTTTCATTTTCCTTTTTTTTTTTAAATATTATGTACTATATTTTTAGTCTTAAACACGATATATTATATATATTTAATTTTTTATATATATAAAAATATAAATGTTACCAAAAAAAGAGGTTGTGTATTGCCTTTGTGGCACGAAAGCGCTGCCCGGGGGGAGGGGGCAGGAGTGTGTGTATGGATGGGGGGCGTTACGCGTTTGGGACCTGAATAATCCTGTTGGGAGCAGAGGACAATTGGAGCAGGGAATAAGGCCCTGAAGAAGGAAGGGCTCGTCTCTAGTGCTGTTCATCGCCAGCGCTCAACGCGTAGGGTGACCAGATGTCCCGATTTTATAGGGACAGTCCCGATTTTTGGACCTTTTTTCTTGTATAGGCTCCTATTATCCCCCACCCCCGTCCCGATTTTTCACACTTGCTGTCTGGTCACCCTATCGACGCGCTTCACAAGGGAGCTGGGTAGCGTTCTCCCCATTGGACAGAGAGGGGAAACTGAGGCAGGGGGAGGGGGAAGTTAGGAGCCTAAAGACCCTTGAGGGGCTGGGCAGAAGCGATTTACTCAAGGTCGCTGGCGATAGGCCACAGCCCCACCTGTGCCAAGCTGCTTACCTCTCCAGGTGGGAGACTGAGATAGGCCAGGTGACAGGAAGATCATGTGACTAAGGCCAAGGGATATAAGGGAGCATGATCAAGCCCAGAGCTTGCCTGCCAGCCAGCACCACTCCTGCCAGGTGGGACCCGGAGGGCCATGCTGGGAAGCTGCAGGTGGGTGAGGGAACGTCTGCCCAGCACAGTTAGCACTCAGGGCTTGCTCCTAACCCGACTCCCATCCGCACACAGCAATCCCTGGTCTGGCGGGGTGGGGCGGTCGCTTACCTGCTGCTGGAGCTAGTGAATGAGTCAATGGGGATTTGCTGCCTGAGAGCAGGAACACAGACCTGGGGGGTGGGGGCTCTATAGTTTGCGTTTGAAAGACTTTGCTTCCTCTCCAGGGGCAACTGGGACAGGGGCCGAAAGGGGCCAGCCGGCCGGAAGCTAAGCCCAGCCCCCAGAGGGAAGCCTCTCTTGACCGTGGGAAGGGTGAGGGCTGATGGAAATGGTGTAAAAATGTAATTAACTAGGCCCTCCCCACCCCCCAAGGCAGAGACTCTTCTATCACTTGAGAGTGGTCTTTGAAGAGCCCTGAGAGAAGGAGAAACTGAGGCAGGATGCTGCAGAGCCTCCCCAAGCCATGAGGGCCCCCTGGGAGGCCTCTGGGCTGTTTAGTCACCCAGTGGCAAAGGCAGGTTTCCTGTGTCTCAGGCCAGTGCTCTGCCCACTAGGCCACACTGCCTTCCCTTCAGACTTGCATCTGAAGAAGTGAGGTTCTTACCCACGAAAGCTTACGCTCCCAATACTTCTGTTAGTCTTAAAGGTGCCACAGGACCCTCTGTTGCCTTCCCTTAAGTAGCCTAGCTCGAGGCCTTTGAGTGGCTTGAAGAGAAGGCCCCCAAGGCCTTGAACTTGACTGGCTCGACCAGCGTCTCCTGTGTGTGAAAGGCGGCAGGCTTCCAATTCACACCCGTGAGATGTGGGGGTTGCCCCTCTGAAGGCCAGGGAGACGGGATCGGGCCTTAGACGCTTGAGCGGCATTGGCAGACCTGGGAGGGGTGGGGGGTGGAAGGTGCCCAAGGCTGGACTTAGCAGGGGGGCCGCAGTGGGGATGGGGGGGCCTTGGCAGAGCTGGGGGTGGTGTAGAAGGTGCCCAAGGCTGGACTTAGCAGGGGGCCGCAGTGGGGATGGGGGGGCCTTGGCAGAGCTGGGGGTGTTTGTGGGGTTACCCGCTACAGCTCATGGTGCAGGCGTTCATTCCCTCCTATTGCTCAGGGGCTGCAGGCGGCGCCGGATTTACCCTCTTCTTGCACCGCAGCATTTGGGGCCGTTTACAAGCGGGTTTTGCTTGGGTCAGTTCCTCGCCCTTCGTAATAAAAGGGTGGCGGGGGAGGCTGGCGAAGCGGGCAGCGGAATTGCTTCTAGAGCCGAAGGCTTTGCACGACGCATCGGGGGGCCCTTTCACCCAGCCCGATTCTCCTCGCTCCCTCGTTAGCGTTGCCTGTAGCTTCCCCCGCAGCCACGGTGGGCCGCCCCCTGCACCTTCCCCAGGTCCCTGCTTAATTAGCAATGTTCTAGCTGCTTCTCTCCAGCAGCCCCCCCCGGTAGCAGCTCTCTCCCCGGAGCTTTCCACTGTAGCGGGTAGGATTTCTCCTAGGGGGCATTTTGCACTCAGCGAAGCCTAGAATCAGGCCGCAAACCGCTTCGGCTCACGGCTGTTGAGAGGCTGCCCCCTGAGCTGACGGGTCTGGGCTGGATCCTGAGTTAAAGGATGTGGGAGGCTGGGTGGGGTTTGGATATTCTGCCCCAGATCCTCTCCTGCATGACCCCCCCCCTTAATGTCTGATCTCCCCCTCCACGTTCTCCCTTTTCCTAACAATCGGGGCTCTCTCTGCTGCAGCCTCCCTTCCGTCAAAGGGGAATGAAGCCTCCGTTACAGTGTAAGCTCCTTGGGGCAGGAACTCTTCCTCTGTGTCTGTGCAGCTCCCGGCACGCTGGGGCCCTGATCTCAACTGGCCCCTCCCGGTGTTAACATAATCCCTGTCCCTCTAGCAGCTGGTCCATGGCTGGCAAATAGGGCCGTAGCAACAAAGAACGTGGCCCCCTCCGAACATATGTCCGGGCGGGGCCCCTTACAATGCAGAAACTGGAATGAGATATTTATTTTGCCACTTTTAGGGGCCCCCTTCCTTGCGTGGCCCCCTCCGGTCGGAGGGTACGGAGGGCGCTCGCTACGCCTCTGCTGGCAAAAGACAACCGTGTCCCCTCCCCGGGCCAGGGCTCGCCCGGGCTCCACTGACCTATTTCGCAGAAGCTTTTAGCGGGAGCGGATGCCAGCATGGGCGAGAGCGCCGTTGTGAATTACACGGAGCCGAGGCATTGGGGTTTGTTGTTTTGTTTTGGTTTTTTTTTTTCTTCCAGGCAACCCTGCAAATGGGCTGGCTTAATGATTTTGTTTCTCGACAAATGTAGCCTATTACTTTGTGTGTTTCCACGCCTGGTTTATTATGCATGAGCCAGGCACTTTGCCTGCTGCTCCCGGGACCCATCTGAAAAACAAAAAGGTGCTTCGTCAATCTTAATGGCTTTTGCGGGAGCAAGGGATGAGCGATAGCTAGATGGGTAACTAGATAGCGGGTGTGTATGGGGATGGAGCTAGAAAGGCAGAAAGCAGGATGAATGGACGGCTAGACAAGATAGATGCTGGTTTCTTCTCTCTGTAGCTCTGTTCGCGTATTATTGTTAGACTCAAACTCTCCTTCAGAAGCAACCACCTCCCTTCTAGCGGCACTAGGAGGTGACCTAGGAAGCTTTAAAGTTGCGCCTGCCCGGAGTCTAGATAATCTCTGAAATTCACGCTCTGGGGGCTTCTCTCCATAGCGAAGCAGCATCGTTTCCCCAGGAAATCAATCTCACCAGCCGGCTAATTTATGCCAGGCGCCCGAGACGTACTGTAATTTATTCTACCGGCTGAAACGCACAGCGGCTCCTCTCAGCTGTACAGAAATCTCGCTCCTTGGGCTCCCCTCCCGTTCTCCTTCCCCGCAGACGTGACAAGGCTGCAGCCTTCAGAAGAGCCGACGAGGGGAATTTCTCTTCTCGGCGCTCTTCCTTTGGCTGCAATTCCAGCGCGTTTGTTCTCACCTTGATGCGACGTGCCCCGGGCGAGCGCCTCGGATGAAAGGGACGTGTCTGCTCCAACCTTCAGAGGCTGCAGACGAAAAAGACACCTGGACTAAGCCGAGGAACTAGCAGCCCCAGTAAAACGCACAGTTCTGGGGCTAAAACGCTGGGCTGGGACCCTGGAGGTCCAGGTTTGGTTCCTGACTCTCCCATGGTTTCCCTGTGAGGGCCTGGACAAGTCACTGAAGAGCCTGATATTTTCAGAGGGGTTGACCACCTGTCCTCAGCCGCTCTGACAATCAAACCTAGAATCTCCTTGCCCCTCTGCCCAGGTACTGAAATGGCCCTTGTAACCAAAGTATTCACACCCCTCTGTCTTTAGCCTCTTTAGCCTCACCGCTCGGCGGGAAGGCAGGCTGTTGTCCCCGTTGTACAGATGGGGAACTGAGGTACGGAGACTTGGCCATGGTCACTCGGGCAATCTGTGGCAGAGCAGTGGGCTGAACCTAGGTCTCCTCGGGCAGCTGGGAGAGGGCAGGAGCCCCGGTGGGTACATCTACACTGCAAAGAAAATCCCATGGTGCCTCGGTCAGCCCACTTGAGCTGCAGAGAGAAAACTAGCAGTGTAGCCATTTGGGCTTGGCGAAGGAGGTATGTCTATGCTGCCGTTTTTAGCCCTGCAGCCCAAAGCCAGGGAGACTGAATCAGTCGGCCTGGGCTCTGGGATTCGGCGCCGTGGGTTTTTCTTTGCACTGAAGACCTAGCCTGTTCCCTGGCTACCCCCGCCACACCCCTTCCTGGGCAGCACTGCCCACTTTTTGCTGGGTGCTCTTCTCCAAGGGGCCCAAATTCAACCTCCTGTCCACACAGGACAACACAAGTGGAATGTTGATGTAAACTCTCAGGGGGAGGGGAGCGAGCAGGGCTCGGGCTCAGTGGATCAGGGACTTGGGATGAAAGATGGGCCACATTTTTCAGCTGAAACTTTTTCTTTCTCTTGTTGAAAAATGCAGCGTCAGGTCGACCAAACCAATTCATGAATTCAGGTTGATTTCACTGAATTGTTGTGAAATCGGGGGGGGGGAGATCTCTGACACTTTTGAAACAGCAGTTTTGATTTTTCACGTTTTATTTTGAAACTGACTTCAGTGTTACTTTTGAAAATGGACCCAAAAAAAGTTCTAACAAAACATTTCATTCAACCTGAAACTTTTTTTTCTTTTTAAACGTTTCAGTTCACTGGAAAATGTTCATTTTGAGTTAACCTGGAACGATTCCCCCCCAGCCCCCTCCAATTTTTGCAGTACTGCCAACAAAACAAAACAAAACTCCATGATT